TACAAATTCGCTCTTCACTTTTAAATATTTAATTCGAACCCTGTTCTGATATAGTGCATTTTTGTCTTAATAGTGAATCTATGCCAGCATATTTAAAAATGTATAATGTTTAGCCGGGAGGTTTTCGGAAAACAAGTTTGAAATCGCTTTATGTGTAGAATCACATGTTTTAATATTGACCGGTTAATAATTGTTTCATTATGGACTGGTTGCCCCATCGCCAAAGTATGCAGTGAACATGATGTTTTGTGGACTGGCATGTGATACAGTTTTGAACAATAGACCTTTTTTAAAAAGTTTGCCTTGTGACATAGTTTGCGGATAAATATGATCATTTGGGCCAATCAGGCAAGCCAAATGGCTATGCGGGGTTTTCCATTATCCGCAAACTACATCACAAGGCAGACTTTTTAAAATGCTCTATTCGCTACTCTGAACTTTGACACTAACTGTATAACAGATTTTATGTACCACTTTTACACTTCAGACCAGCTCGTTTCAATAGTTCTCCCTTTGACTCAATTTCCTTTGGCAACGATAGTGAATCCTCAATCAGTGAATCATCTTTCCCAAAGTAGGAGCGTACTTTGTCACAGATTTTCTTAGGAGGTATACTTTGTAGTGGTGGAATGCTTTTAACAATTTCTCTAACTTCTTCCAATCTTATTGCCTTCTGCTTGATATGGGAAGAAAAAGCGAACTCTAAGGCGGAGGTTTCAGAAAGTGACCATATATGTCATGGGGATGTTTTCAAACAATGGCTCATCACACGGCAGTTCCTCATCTTCATATGAATCGCCTTTTCTGTTGAGCAAAGTGCACCAGCCGACCTCATTATTTTAGCTAATTCTTGCAGATTTACTTTTATTCTTCAGCAAGTAACACTTGTCCGCAGCGGATTTTTTGTGGACCATAATATCTGCATGGTCGCTTGCGCATGTTCTCATTGCATTCATGCACAGCCGAAACTGCTGCTTTGCAGAAAGCAGTTGCTCCACCCAAAGAAGTATCTTTGCTGAATACTTTCCCCCAAAAGTATCTTTGCTGAATACCTTCCTCCAACAAGACCCGATCTGTGCACCAACTTGCAATGACTTCATCTTCCATTATTCCAAGTCATAAATACTGGAGCATTCGCCTCTGTGCTCATGCCATCCAATTAATTTCTGAATTTCTCAATAAAAATACTCGCATATTTGAAGAGAACTGAATCGAAAACAATATTCACTGGACCATGTGTGGTAAATGTTTTGTGGTCCTTAACTCTGACAACAAAGTATTCATCTTCTTTGGTAACTTTATTAAATTCTCTGAAAGTCAATTTGCAAGTGTTCCAGATTACTTCCGTTGTTGATGCAGATAAGTGTTAAAAGATAGTCCCAAACTAATGTATATTCAGGCTGGCTGGGATATATATATATGTATATATATATATATATTATTTGCCTTTGTTGCATGCTAAGTACTTATAAGCTTGTTCAAATCTACTTGACATTTTAACTCTGAGGAAGGTCGCAGTCAGCGGCTGAAAATTCAGTCAGTATACACAGCTTTTATGCGTGGACAAAAGAGCAGCAGAAAAATATCAGCTTACATAGGCAATCTAGATGACTTAATTGAATATCCAAACTTGGTGTGGCTGAGATCAAGAGATTTAAGTAATGTATGTAAATTTAAAAGTGAAATAGAATTAATTTTACATTAACTGGAATGCCTCTTCTACTGATTGAGGATGAATATTAGCATCATCTACATCCATAATATCCTCAAATCAAATGATGACATGTCCATATCAGTGATTGACACATCTGCAAAATAATTACTAGTGTCATTCACTAAGTCATACCACATTCTTCATTGTAATTTTTTTTGACTTGGTAGAAAATTATCAGGTATTGGATCCATGTCATTGAATACCTCATCAAGTGTCTTGTACACTTGTACTGCATGATCTCTTTTCCAAATGTCTACATGTGAAACAATGTCATTAATAGAAAAGAGGGAATGAGCACCACTCAAAACCTGATCAATTCGAAAGGTAGAGAGCTGGTTGAGGAATATCCCATAAATTTTCAAATAATGGTAGGTTGAGTTCCTTTCTTAATACATTAAGTTTTTGAGTTAGTTCTTGCTTTCATTTAGCTGTAACATCTCTAGTTCCGGTTTGACCTTCATCAAATGCAGTGGTTGCTGCAAATAGAAGATTTGCAGGACAACTAAGTTCTCCACATGAACAAGCTTTTGCACAAAGATCACAGCAATTGTGCTTCATTTCATCCTTGCTGATGTCAGAGTAATTTAGCAAATATTCTCTTCTGCATGTTATACCATCAGCATGTAAGCTTACATACTCCTTCATGGATTTGTCAACATGTGTCAACATTCTGCCCAGGTAATAAATAATAGCATTACTTTGTTGACCATCCCGCCCACATCTTCCACTTTCCTGAACTTAGGATTCCACATTTTTTGACAGGCCAAGATGGATCACGGTTTCAACAGCTTTGCAGTTGACGCCCATGCCAAACACAATGGTACACAGTAAAACACGTACATCCATAGTCATTGATTCTATGATTTCATCTTGAATTCTTACTGGTGTATTTGAGTGCAACATTTCAACCAATTTTTGCTTTTTATTCGCAGGGTTAGCATAAATACCATCACCCAAAATGCCAAGTATTACAGAGTACAATTTGTGACACTTATTTATCGTTTGACAATAAATTATGACTCTTTTAGCTTGCTTTTTGTGTTCTTTAAATGCATCCACAAGCCAAATATGTTACAATAGGAGTGTTTCTATCCAAAAACTAAACAGCATATGAAATGTTTGTTCTGTTTGGTAATAATGATTGGCTTGGTTATACCAAGGGTTCTCAGTATGACATCCCTTGTTTTCTTTACTGCAGTTGCAGTGAATGCCATTACGGGTGTATGGCTAGGCAAGAGAGAACAGATTTATTGAATGTGAGCAAACCATTTTTGAAAAGCATGTCTGCAAGATTGCCCCTGGCTTCCATAACCCCTACATACATAAAGGGAATTTGTTGAGAACCATTGAAGGTCAATGTGGAATTGATGTCAAATCTTAGATGTTTCTCCGCCGCTCCAGGGGGGGATCGGCTGAGAATGGGTAAACCGAGTTGAATTGCCAGAGAGAGCCCATTCTACTTGCCCAGTCAAGATTACTGAGCCTATTGAGGTAGAGAACCGGCAGAGGGTAACTCGATCTGCCCCTGTGCTTATCGTCAGGTCAGGAGTGTCGAACAAGTCCACTATTGTCAGAACTAAACTCGAGCTAGAGTTGAAGCATTTAAAAGAAAAATAGAGACTAGATCAGGAACAGAGAGAGTTACGCTAACAAATGCAAAGAAACAAAATGGAACAACAGAAGAAACTAGCTGAGCTGGAAGAAAGGCACAGATTGCATGAATTAGAGGTCAGATTAGCAGAAGCCCAAATGCAAGAACAGCTAGAACATGATGAGGATGATGATTATCCAGAAAGGTTGGATCACTTGGAGGAACAGGTTGATCATCCTATAGCTGCTAGTGGTAAGAACAACAACATTGAAACCTTCACGAGGGACACCACAGATATCCCAAGAGTCGCATTAGCTAATCAAACAAGTTTGGAGACCCACAATTCCCCATCAGCACAGAGACCACCCGAAATGGCGAGATTCCACCACAGCCGAGTCCACCATATGCAAGAAGACCACCAGGGGAGTGTGACCAGCAACCGTCATCCCATGATCGCCTACCATTGGAACCAAACCCACAATCGGGGCAATCACTTGGTTGTTATCATGAACAATCATTCAATATACAAGGGCGTCAACCCCCTGTGTTCGTCCCCCGGCATCTCAGTGGTCAACACAACCCACAACATTTAGGAACTTATATCACCGACAATGTACCATTACCAGAACCCAATACTGCTGCCCAGCAGATATTTGAGCATCAACAACAAGCCCTCAACTTGATGGCAAGCACAATTGGAACCACTATCATAAGCAAGGGATTCGAAATGCCACGAAGAGAGATATGACCTTTGATGGCAACCCATTGACTTATCCGAGCTTCATGGAGAATTTCAAAACTAATGTAGAAGATATTGAGCCCAGCCCTAACGCTAGACATAACTTTCTGATACAACTATGCGGTGGAAAGGCGAAGGAAGCTATAAGTGGAACAGTAATGTTAGCTGCATAGGAAGGTTATATTAAAGCCAAGTCTATCTTACATGAGATTTTTGGACAACACCCATAGTTGCAGCATCTCACATCGATAAAATTACTGGAGGAGGACCAATCAAAGAGAATGAGAATGAAAGATTGATCAGCTTGCACAAGACATGGAGAATTGCAAGATGAACCTGAACACACTTGGCTATCAGGCTGATATCAACTCAAGAAGCAACATGAGTGCTGTAGTCATGCGTCTCCCGAAATATGTTCGTTCGGAGTGGGCCAAAGAAGCACAAAACTCGAGAGATCGGAGTAAAGAACCAGACTTTGCACAGCTGACGAGATTTGTTCTTAAGAAGGCAAAGCTAGCCAACACTGAATATAGTCGACTGATAAGTGCAAGATCCAACAACGAAAAGCAATTTGGTAAGGGGTCTCGAGTGGGCAGGAATGTATCGACTTACCTATCACACGGTTCAAACACAGAGATAAAGGGACCAGGGGTGGAAAAAATATTTTATTTTCTGGGACCGCAATGAAAAGTGGGAAAATTTTCTGTGAGTTGTCGACAAAAATCCTGTATAATTTAAATTAATTAAAGACTAAAATTTTTCTATTGGCATATATTTAAGGTGAAGATCAAGGTCAAAGTCAAGGTCACGAAAAGGGCCTTTTTAATCATTTTTTTTTTAAATGAAGGTCAAGGTCACCAAAAAAGGGGCCTTTTAACACTTTTTATTTAAACATTAACTGCAATGTCAATTTCGTATTATTTACAACTATACATCTACTTAAAATGTTCACTCCAAAATGTCTGGGTTTCTTCTTCTAATAGCTTGGATCCTGTTCCTCAACTGGTCCCGTGTGGCTGACGATTCAGGTACTCTTAGGCTAAAGGAACGACGTACAGACACCCAGTCTATGCATCTCTGTTCTCCAACATGTCTGCCTCACTAGTTCGAGGAGGATGTCGTCAGAGTCTTGTGGTGGTGGTCGGTGAGGAGGGTTAGGGTCATGCTGTGGCAGAAGATCTAGGACCTGGACTATATCAGCTGCAGGTGGTGGAGGTCGTTGATTTAGCTCGGGTAATGTGTGGTGCTGCAGGAGGCCACACCGGTTTTCCGCTCTTACTTGCGTTCTGAATCAATAACTTCAGATCTCCATACACTCGTTTTTCGGCCATAGTAAGCTCTCTTTGCATGTGGTGGTTCATGACACCGTTTCTTGTTAGTATTGGCTGTACATTCACGTTAACCTTCGACTAGCTCACATTTATGATGAAACTTTGAGGGTGGAACATTTGGTGTTCTAGCAGGTGGTTCATGGCATTGGTCAGAAGCGTCATTCTGATGGGGATCTCTTTGCGCAAACCACTGACAAGGTTTGGCTTAGAGGTGAGGACATGGAGGATCGATGCCAGCCTCTGGGAGAGATTAACTCCTTGATGGGTGTTTATGGGCGAGGTGATGGGTTCAGGTTAGGCTTTACCAGAGGTAATGAAATCAACTGATAATGACACCGTGATAAAATTATCAAAATTTATGTAAAGTCATGCTAATAAAGTCATTTGTTACTGTTACTACTTCCTATAGAAATAAAAATTGGGAATCGAAATTAAGGACAGAGGGGAACGTTGCGGATAGCAAATTTTGGAACCAGGGCAGTGGTACGATACAAAGCCAACAAAGGGCCAAAGGGGGTAGAACAAGGTCGCCTGCAAATGAGGCTACATTCTGCTATCAAAGTTCTTTCGTAAATTATTTTTGGGGCACCCCACCCCCTACACCTAGTGTCTGTCCCTGAACAAAATGGCTATTTATTGGTACAGTTACTCTCTTTCTTTCTACTCTTTTTCTTTCCTTCTTTTTTTTCTTTCTTTCCTTTTCCTTCTTTTCTTTCTTTCCTTTTCCTTCTTTTCTTTCTTTCTCTCTTTTTCTTCCTCTTTTTTCTTTCTGCCAGCATAAAAAATTTTCTGGGACCAACGGTCCCATGGTCCTCTATATTTTCCACCCCTGAAAGGGACATTCTGGAGATTATTCACGGCATGGGAACAACGGGCAGACCAAAATGTTTATTTTGCGACAGAGATGGTCACAGAATCGAAAAATGTTTGAAGTTTCAAGGGAAGCCCTATGAAGAGCGAAATACCATCGTAAACATGAGGAAACTGTGCAACCTTTGTCATTGCAAGGGTCAGTTCGCTAGTAACTGCAAGAGGAGTCGTGACTTTTTTTTCCAGGATGCGGAAAGCACCACCATCCAATGCTCCATCCCGCAGAGACTGCCAAGGATGGAAAGAAAGATGTGCCAGAAAATCAAAACGAAGAGAGAAAACCAGACTCATCTGCAGCTCCAACCAGAAATGTTCAGACTGGTCACTGTGGTGCCACCGGAACTATCAGGAATCGAGTGTGCTTATGAGTAATTCCTGTAAAGGTGTTTGGGAAAGATAGAAGTTGTGAGAAGATAACTTATGTGATAAGAGACAAAGGTTCAAATACCACTTTGTGAAAGAGAGTCTAGTCGAAGAATTGAACTCGAACGGACAGCCGATAGATATCACGCAAGGTCGTATGAAGGAGCCATATGCCATTAGAACGCCCCTTGGCTGGTCAGTCGCTGGTCCAATGGAGAGTGCATCTGTGAACGAAGTGAGTTCCTTCTTTATTCAAGTTTGAGGATGATACCTTTACTGAGAAGGTGAACAAGATGTTCCAAATGGACTTTAGTGAGACTCTTCCCAAAGTACACAAACTATCCTCTCCTGCTTCTCCTGACAACCTTAATCAATTAACTGGCCGACCAATCATTACCGTTCACTCTTGGACTACTTCAAACGTTTCAAAACTATTTGGTACAGAATTAGACAATATTATTTTACAACTTAAAAACCTTTATATTTCTCAAGATAAACGATTTTCTTTAATTTATAATTCTTCAGAGCTTGTTGACATATTACAACAACAGCACATTACAGACATTAACAATTTTAAACTTACTACTTTTGATTTTTCTTCTTTATACACCAACATTACTTTTCAAGACACCATCAACACTATAATTAAGAGCTGTGAATTACTTAAACATTCTACCTTTTACCGATACTTTTTACTTAACGTGAACAATTTTATTAACAACTGAAACTTTTTTACCATAGGAGACGACATATACTAACAAACACAAAGGATAGCAATGGGCAGTTACCACAACAGACAAATGGCAGATTTAGTTTTACTTTCAAGCGAATTTAATTTTTATAACTCTACTGACATCATAAATACATGTACCCTCCTCATTACTCATCCAACCATCCACATCACATCTTTAACAGGCTTGTCAAGACAGAAATTATACGATACAGCAGACTCAGTGATAGATACAGATACAGCGATTCTCTTTGACTTTTGACGATATTAATTTTATTAAGAAACTTTTCACATTACGACTTACAGCAATTGACTACCCTCTCAAACTTATACAAAACAACTCTTTTCCTTTCCTTTCTTATAACGGACATGAACATAGACAAAAACAAACAAACAAACATGAACGACAACACTCAACTACAATCTACTACTCGACCAAATACAACAAACATACAAGAATTGACAAAATATTGTAGCACATACTTAACAAATACCATAACAAGCATATCCCTAATCTAACAAAACTTACTGTAACTCTACTAAGCTATATACTATACTGCTGACCAACAAAACATTGCATGCAAAATTATAAGCTATGTATTTATATATTATATTTCCTTTATTTTCCAGAGTGCATTCCAAATAATCTATAAAACTTAAGTGTACGTTAAGGCATATTTTACTATGCTAAAGCAATTAACAATTTATAATGGTTGAGATATTTTCATAATTAAGAGACGATTATATTTTTATTTCAAACCATGGAAATGCATGAAATGTTCAAATTTACTTATATTGAAATGTTAGATTAGATTTAAACGTCTGAAAATTACATCTTTGGACAATATATTATACTGCTCATGACTCCACATCGGAGACGTTCGAGTTTTTTATACACAGAATGCACCCTGGCAATTTTCAAATAATAAGACTGATATACTCTCATAATTAAAATTATCATGTCTATGGTTTGAAACCATGGAAATACAGGAAATATTAGAATTTTCTCAATAGAAATCATGCCAAAAGGTCTAAAAATCACATATACCAACATGTCATGCTAGAGTCTGGCTATTAAGAATATTACATACCCACCATGAGAAGATGTATCATAGCTGTTCACTGGAGATCTTCAGGGTTTTTTATATGTAATTTATACCCTGATATATGTTTTCAATTTCCTTTTGATATGCACTTTTCAATTTATACATTTATATATAGTTGATCATTAACACATATACTTATTTGTTCATATATTAGAACTTATTTTCATATTGATTACACATGTTATTTAAAATTTAATAAAATTACAAACATTAAATAAAATTACAAACATTAATATTGATCATTTCAAACAGATGGGTTCACTATACCACGTAGCATTTTTACAGAGCACATGATTTTGGTGCCTTCCAATATTACAATAGATACATATAAAACATAATATTCAAGATGTATTATAATAAATCCTTGCAAGAACGAGGTAATATTTTTTATTGCGCAGGAGTTTGTATGATCTTGGTTTAATATTACATTGTGATGTTTTAGCGTTTTGTGTGTTAGGTCGGATTTTGAGATATTCAAAACAATATACATGTTTTTTACATACCATTTGCCACACTAGTCTTGTGTTATGATCACTTTTATTTCAATCTGCAATCCATGCCCACATGATGTTATATCAATATTTTTTTGGCAATTCCTTCTAATTCCATGTGTTCACTTTCGGTGTCATTTTGAAAATTAACAACTCGTACCCAGTGCTCGAACATGAATCTCGTTACCATGACATATAACAATGAAGGCAGCTGTTGTGAGCTTTGGACTGCTAGTTTTTTCGATATTTATATTGTTAATTTACCGTCCTACAGTTTTTGACTGACATGAAGAGTTTCCTAAGGTTATGGTACAGACCATATGGGAAAATAAGATCTCTCCATCACTGTTAAGCGATGTATGTGGGCAAACAGTTATTATCGGACTTGGCCGACTTGGAAAAGTCTCCCTGTTGAAGCATGGATTTCGAAAGACTCGTATGAGCCTCTCCAGATGGTCAAAACATGGCCAAACTACACTACTGGTGGCCGGACATGATCCTCCTATTGACATTACCATGTATCTGGACATATCTATTAATCCTGGCCCACAATTGTCGAATACGATCGAAACTATAATCACAAACAGAACAGAATCTACGCCAAGAAATCGATTTCGCCATTATTCAAATTTAGTGCAAATTCTGGCTGCACCGGCTATTGTTTATAACAATACAGCGCAACTAATTAAGTGTTGCGTATTGAACGCTCAATCACTTAGAAACAAAGGTCCTGAATTTGTTGACTATATTTGTGATTCGGAAATCGATATTGCCGTTATTACTGAAACTTGGCTGAAATCTGCTGATGCTGCTGCTAAAATCGCTGCCACACCAACTGGATATCGCTTGTTTAACCATCCTCGCCCACATAGAATTGGTGGTGGCACTGGCATCTTAGCGCGGGACTCACTTGTAATTAAACCAGCAAGAGCGGGTATATTCAACTCTTTTGAGTATTCAGAGTATATTATTGTTTCTGGCTCATCTCGCGTACGCCTTGTTGTAATCTATAGGCCTCCTTACTCGTTCAATCACCCGGCTACTGTGAATATGTTTATCACTGAATTCGCTGACTTTCTGGAATCTGTTGTCATGACGATCGAGCCGCTTCTGATAGCCGGTGATTTTAATATCCATGTCAACAAGCAGTTGGATAACGATTGTGGTAGTTTTCTCGATCTCCTTTCATCAATGGGCTTACAGCAACACATTAATTTCCCCACGCATACTTCTGGTAACACTTTAGATCTGCTGGTAACCCGAACTTTGGATTCTGATATCATAAAGGAAATCCAACCTGATATCTATTTTTCTGACCATTGTTCCATATTATTCTCCATAAACATCTCCAAACCGCGACTGTCAAGGAAGAAGGTAACTTTTAGGAAAACGAAAGCTATTAATACAACCACATTCGTGGCGGATCTGTCTGCTACTAAATTGTGTCAGCACCCTCCATCTGAGCTAGACAAGCTAGTAGATTGCTATAATACCACACTAACAGATTTATTGGATCACCATGCTCCTCTCAAAACCAAGACTGTTACGGTTAGACCTCAAGTGCCTTGGTATTCGGAGGAAGTTTGTGTAGCGAAGAGAGAGCGTCGACGAGCTGAAAGGAAATGGAGGTCTTCTGGGACTGCTGCTGACTTTGAGTCATTCAAGAGGAAAAAAAATCGTGTAACTCATTTGCTAAGAGTAGCTAAATCGGAATTTCTCACTGACTTCATTGATCAGAATGCGGACAATCAAGGCAAATTATTTCGAGCTGTGAAAGACCTTTTGGTTGAGAAGAACACGCTATGTTTCTCTGACTATACGGATACGACAGCACTGGTAAACGAGTTAGGGATGTATTTTGTACAGAAAGTTATTCGGATTCGAGATGAGCTCGATTTGGGTATCGCGACTATGAACGATGTCCCGGATTATAGTGGCACTATACCTGACCCACCGGCTCCATCTGTTTTTGAATCATTTGCGTTGTTGACGGAGGACAATGTGCGCATGCTCATTGCCAACTCTAAATCCACATCGTGCTGTCTTGATCCTGTCCCCACGCCTCTACTAAAATCATGTATCGAGTCTCTTATACCAGTGATCACTAAAATAATTAACACCTCATTGGAATCAGGAGTTTTCCCTGAGGACTGGAAAGTGGCCGTAGTCAAACCATTGTTAAAGAAACTGGGCCTTGACCCGCTGTTTATGAACTTGCGTCCTGTTAGTAACTTAGCTTATATCTCTAAGCTCATTGAGCGTGCTGTATTTAATCAGATTTATGACCACTTGGTTCAGTCAGGTCTTTATCCTCTACTACAATCAGCTTATCGTCAGTACCATAGCACAGAGACAGCGCTACTCAAGGTTGCTAACGATATTCTTATGAATATGAACTCGCAACGCGTTACGTTACTTGTCCTTTTGGATTTAAGTGCTGCGTTCGATACAGTGGATCATGAGATTTTACTGTCACGCTTGTCTTCGAGTTTTGGTATTCGGGGAAAGGCTCTAGAGTGGTTTTCTTCATATTTGTCAGGGCGTAGCCAGCGCATCGTGTTTGACGGAGTTACATCAGACAGCTGTGATGTGCGCTTTGGGGTCCCACAAGGGAGTTGCCTTGGTCCGCTTCTCTTTGTTATGTACGCTTCAAAGCTTTTTGAGATTGTTCAAGCACACCTCCCTGATGCCCATGGTTTGCCGATGATACGCAATTATACCTGTCATTCAATCCTAATAATCCCGCTCATCAAACGGAGGCGGTGTCTACCATGGAGGGATGTATTAGTGACTTGAGAAAATGGATGTATCAGGACAAGCTAAAGTTAAATGACGATAAAACTGAATTTCTTATCATCGGATCTAGACAACAGATTTTGAAAGTTAACCCATTCGCGTTGGCAATACCGAGATCAAGCAAGTTTCGGAAGCGCGTAATCTGGGCTCTTGGTTTGATTCAAATTTATCCATGTCCACCCATATTTCAAGTCTTGTGGTGCTACATTTTGCTGGCTACATAAAATCAAGCGCATCAGTAAATTCTTTGCAAAGGATCAATTAGAAATGATCTTGCATGCCTTTGTTACAAGTAGAATTAACTATTGCAACGGACTTCTCTATGGATTGCCGGCCTGTGACATAGTTAAATTACAGCGAGTTCAGAACGCTGGGGCAGGGTGCTAACGTCTACTACCAAGTACAGCCATATTACGCCTGTTTTACAGGAACTACGTACACTGGTTGCCAGTTAGGTTTAGGATTCATTTTAAGATTTTACTTTTAACTTTCAAAGCTCTTAACGGCTTGGCGCCAGATTATATTAGGGAACTTATTAAGATAAGGAAACATGAACGTTACTCGCTCCGTTCCAATTCGGGTATTATCATCTCACATCCAGTGGGGAAGATGTTAAAATCATTCGGAGACAGATCTTTTAGTGTGGCTGCGCCAACACACTGGAATGCACTTCCTGTTAGCCTTCGGAGTATCAGTTCTCTTTCAATTTTTAAATCCTCTCTGAAAACATATCTTTTTAAGCTAGCTTTTAGCCTCCATTAAATGTATATATTTAAGATTATTAATAGTCGCATGTATAATAGAGTGTATTGTAATGCGCTTTTGATCATTGTATGTAAAAAGCGCAATATAAATTATTAAATTATTATTATTATTATGAGCGTCAAGAATGATTTTAGCGGCTGTGTTGTGCAGAACTTGAAGGCTGTTCATCAGGACAGAGATGTTTTTATCACCCCACACAAAATCAGCGTAGTCAAAGATCGGCATGATCAGGCTATAATGTCACAGTTATTAATAATAAAGTAGGATATATAGTGTAAACCTTCACTTGACGTAGCAGATATAGTGCGACTTGAACTAAACGGTGTTTAAGTTAATCCTCTAGTACAAAATAGAAATTTTTACAAACACTCTTGTCGGAATTGTGCCTATATATAGCATCTTCTGGAATAATTTGCAGAGGTTTTTAGGGCATTACGTACAATTGTTTTACTTTGGATGAATTGCATGGCAGCTTTCGGGATGATGTTCAGGCGGAATGTTGATGTGTTCTATCTGCGTGATTAAATTATAAAACGCAGCATCAAACTCTTCTTTATTTGTGTATCATTTCTATTTACAGAAATCGCTGATCTACAAATAAGACTGAATGGCTCAGGTAATAACATCAGTGGACGAGTGGAGATCTTCAATCCAAACTTCGGCTGGGGTACAGTCTGTGATGATTCCTGGGATATTACCGACAGTGATGTTGTCTGCCGTCAGCTGGGTTTCACTGGAGCGAATGCGAAAAGAAATCGAGCTTATTATGGTGAAGGAAGTGGTCCTATCTTACTTGATGATATTGGATGCAATGGTAAGGAATCATACATTTGGGATTGCTCTCATGGTGGATGGAATAAAACCAACTGTAGACATTCGAGAGATGCAGGTGTGGAATGTTTGTGCAAGAAAGGTTGCACTTTTGATGGAGCGAAATGTGTTGGTATGTATCTTCTTATGTACCTAGCATTTAAAAAATATCTGTACGTTAATCACTGCACAAATGTCATAATTATTGTTTCTGTATTTCATCATGATTTCTTTCCGGTTAATCAGACGTTCCCGTTTCACAAGATATTCACGTCGTGACGTTAAGAAAATACTTTATTTCCAATAAATGCATGCAGCAAATATTCGCCCTAATACAACTGACTAACTTATTGATTAATTTAATTTCACATCATTTCGAGTATTGAAATTAAGTCAGAATTATTATCCTCCTTTTTTTCTGGCATGGGCCATGTAGTCTAAGTTAGGATTAGGTTATTAATTAACTTTGGAAGTCATTTATTTATTTAATAATTAATTTTAATGACAACAAATGAAAATGAGGATGAAAAACATTTCTTGGCATTTGGTACATCTTCAGTGCAAATAAAGTTAAAATAACCAACTGCAAGTTAAAATTAGCAAGTGTACGCATACCATTGGCCACAGAATGGCTGAAACATATTGTGGATAAAATAAAGAAACTTCTATAATTTGGTCGTTATAAAATGGCTGCAAAGTAGGTTCGATTATTTGAGCTTACAAAGCATAACAGTGGATGCACTATAGCTTTGTTTAAATAAGCCTAAAATTTTAACATTGTTCCATTGTCCCCGAGCCGACGGCGCGTAGCGCGAGGGTACTAATTCCCCTCGGCTATTTATATCCGGGGAAACGAAAGCATTAGGGAAGTCTACAGTTCATCAATTATCGCGGGCGTGGGTGACCAACGATGGGTGGTCATCCTCACTGATCTCAAAAATATGGCGGACTGTCATGAATAGCGGGCACTGATTGGTCAAATTTAAAGTTTACATTATAACGACATGACGACAGCGAAAATGCGAAATAGCAAGCATTTTTTGATTTGATGATTGATAAATTTCTTGCAAATATATTTTATTTTTGCTCGCATTTTTCCAAGATTTTGTAAATATCTAAAGCTTCCTCAGAAAGAAAGAAAGGGCGAAAGAATCGGCTAAAAGAAGTCAAAGAAGGGAGCCGACGTTAACGAAGGTAAGTTTGTTTTAATTAAATATTGATTTTATAATGGTTTTAAAACCCGACGGCCTTTGTGTATATGAAACAACTAAACAAGACAGCATATATAAATTTCAGTATATCTTTAATATTGATTCCTTTTTTTATTATATTGAATTTTTTAAATAAAAAAGAGGAAATTTTACACTTTACCGTACCGGAGTAATCACTGAATACATACGCCATCAAAACACTCCAATAAAAGAACGGAAAACCCGTCAGAACACACGCCATCAAATACTTGCGGTACGGTAAAGTGTAAAGTAACAAAAAAAGAAAGCAAAGTTATTTGCAAGCGAGAATTTAAAATCATTTTATTGCGAACTCAAAGTTTATCGATAAAGCCATTTTAATAATTAAAGGCAAGTAGTAAAAGACCCCCATATAGGGACGGAAGTAATTAGTATGCAAACTTAGGTGTCGGAAGTAATTAGTATGCAAAATATGTGACGTTACTTTGCTGGCCCTAACCTTGGGCCAACTGTGACAGGTAGCGCGACCAATTAACGCGGGCAGGCCTGGGCCAAATGTGGCAGGCGATCGATTAGCATCACAACTAGTTTCTGACAAATTTGTAATAAAACGACAAGAGGTTTCTCATAGTTTGCATGTATAAAAGTATGAAATAGAAGTTAGTTTTTAAAACCTACCGTTAGCTCAGTTGGTAGAGCAAAGGACTGTAGTTATTACCAAATCAGTATTCCTTAGGTCACCGGTTCGAACCCGGTACGGTAGAAAAATTTTGCCTTACAACCATGTAGCAACGTTGTGAGTCTCTCTCTTATTTTCAACACGCAATTGAAATTCGTTTTAATTTTGATGGCTCGTTTTGAGCAATAAGTTTCCAAACAGAAATAAAAAATATCGCAACAGAAATAAGCAGTTGCTAATCCCGGGTTGTCAAAGCCGTTGTTATGATCGCTATTTGCATGTTGTTCAACATTATTTAGCAAACCTACATACATATATATATATACGGTCAAGATGACCGAGTCAGATAGAATACTTGAAGGAAAAAACCTGTAGAACAATTTAACAGTCTTAGTTGTAATATTTTTTCTCTATTATTTGTATCAAGAAACATGTTTTAAACTTTGCTGCGTTGTTATGCGTTGCTAAGTCATTAGGAGGCGTGTAGGTAATTAAGGGGATTAAGGTATACGAATTTGCATAACTAGGTGTATTCCGATGGATAGATAGGGATTATTTTTAACGCCGGTGTATACCTTAACATCACGCACGTGGCTTTGCGGGTGCATGCATATATTAAAGTACAACATATTTGTACACGGATCTTTTCGCGGGGGCGGAAAGACCAGGCTTGGCGGGCAAAAATTTGCACAATATTTCAGTTTTAGAATACATTTATTTCTTCAAAATGTTTTACAAAATTTAGTAAGGTCTACTTCTAAGAGCGTAACGTCTGGGTGTTTTTGTTATTTTTAAAGAGTTCTCATATTCTTGTCTATCTTCTGGGGATAACTTTGCAAGTTTTTCCGGCTTCATTGAAATATATTTTGGTCGGTCGCTCAATATAAAACGTTCATAATCCTCTCTTTCTTCCGGAGTCATTCGCGCTAGGTCACGTTCGGTCCAATCTGCTGGGTCAACCAATTGTGAAAAAAAAATGCGCTTGAGTTTTGGCCGTTCCTCTTCTGTTGGTGGTGGTGTAAGGAAATTAGGTTTAGGAGTAGCAGGCACTGGTGGTATTATCGCAACAAATTCATTGGGTTGTGGTATTTCTGCAGGCACTAGTGGAGTTGTCTGAACAGGAGCTTGAGCTGGGACATCCATCTTATTTTTGAATGTGAGAAACCGATTTAGTTGATCAGAGTATAATTTGCTTTTTTCCACTGCGCTTAGCTGTGGTGCATCCATGATTTCTTTCATTCGCTGCTCGGCATCATACATGGCATTTACAAGTGGTGGTTGTCGATACGACTGTTTTTGTATAAACTTTTCAATCTCACCGGGAAGTATGTTGGTCTTGAGTCGTTGTTGATCATCTGTTGTTGGCTTTAAATCCAACATCAAATACCCGTGAGGTCGGCTCGTAGCATCTTCATAACTCCTCATAAATTCTTGTACTCTTCCAGGATCTACTTGCCTTGCAAGCATAGAAATTTGCTGTTTATCTCTTGGTGACTTGAACAGCACGATATAATGGGCGTTTAGACTGATATTTCTCATTTCTTTGCCTTGATGGAATATATTTTGAACAATATAGATGATAGATAAATTCCGATGATGACTTCCTTTCGTAAAAAGATCAGAAATACGTTTATCTTTGCCAGATTGAGCCATAAGGTCGTCCAATACGATCAAATTCCGTTGCGATACGTCCAAGTAATCTGCGTTGTCGATGTCTTCGGGGATGCCCTGATTAAACTCGATTCCAGGCATCGTTCTCATCATATCAAAATAGGAGGGTTGCCATTGACCATAACACCAAATGATACGTTGAGGAGGTGGACTTATAGTTTTCTGTGCGCTCTCTAGGAGAGATTTCACCCATACAGTCTTGCCGCTTTGTGTACACCCGGCTACGATACACGTAAAAGGATGCTGCAAAACTGCAGATTCATTAGCCGTCATGCGAATGTTGTCGGTTGGCTTTTGATCATGCACTTTTTGTTTGTGTCGATTTAAATTGAACGGTTTAGAGAAATAATTTCCACAGATATGACATGAATGAGACATGTTTACTCTATGACGAATAGTTAGATAATAAATCTTTCAAATAGAAACCGAGTTTATATAACTAGTATCTCGTAGCCAACTTCCTAGTCTCGGACCCAAGCTCCTTAGGCTTGCAGCCAGCTCCTTAGGCTCGGAGCTCCTTAGGCTCGGAGCCAGCTCCTTAGGCTCGGAGCCAAGCTCCTTAGGCTCAGCTCCTTAGGCTCGGAGCCAGCTCTTTAGGCTCGGAGCCGAGCTCCTTGAGCTCGGAGCCAGCTCCTTAGGCTCGGAGCCAAGTTCCATATGCTCAGAGCCGAGCTCCTTAGGCTCGGAGCCAAGCTTCTTAGGCTCGGAGCCGAGCTCCTTAGGCTTGCAAAAATAAAGTAAATCAACGAAGGGCATTTTCACGCCAATTCACGATTTAAATGTTTAAATTTGATGCGATTTTCTCAATATTGCAATAATTTTGAGGATTTTTTTGGGCTTTTTCCAAGTATTTCATGCAATTTTTAGAGATTTCTTGGGATTTTGGGATTCTGGGATTTAGTAAGATTTTGGGATTTTCCCAAAAATTTTACGGGATTTTTGATGAAGTGTACGAAGATTTTCAGAGTAATTTACCCCTCGGTTGCTTCATTCTTAACGATCGACGCAATATATCAATATATTATGTTGCTTTGTTCCTATAAGAAAGCACGCAATATATCAATATAATATGTTGTTGCTTCGTTCTTAAGGAACGACGCAATATATCAGTATATTATGTGGCTTTGTTCCAAAGAAAGCACGCAATATCAATATAATATGTTGTTGCTTCGTTCTTAAGGAACGACGCAACATATCAATATATTATGTTGCTTTGTTCCTAAGAAACCACGCCATATATCAATATATGTAGCTGCATCGTTCTTAAGAAACTGAGAAACCACGCAATATATCCGGCAATATATTATATTCCCTTCCGGTCACCTCATTACTTATCGAGTTAATAATTTAAGGCTACTTTCCACTCCGGAAAATTATCCATGGATTGGAACGGGCAAGAAAATTTCTCTTTGTGTTGAAGTCATTACTCCAACCCAGAGCTCACAACACAAAGAAAAATACTCTTGTGCGTTCCAATCCACGGATTATTTTCCTGAGTTGAAAGTAGCCTTCATTGGCGTACGGGAAGGAAAAAATTAGGGGGGCGGAAAGAAATTTGCCCGACTTTTTCGGATTGTGCCCGACCAGTGTCGAAAAATTTTGTTTCCGGAATATTTTATTTTTTTCCGAAACATCAAAAAATTCACATAATTTCCCCAACATTGACAGAATTTGTCCCATTTATTTTTATAATAACCCAATATTGGCCGACTGTGAAGCGAATATTGCCCAACTGGCTTTGTTTGCCCAACAAACTGGGGTTATTATTAAGAGAGATTTTATTGCTTTGAGTACTTTTTGCCCGACTTTTGCCCAACTTTTGTTGAACATTTTCCCGACTTTTCGACTTTGTAATCTTTTGCAGCTGCCCCCCCTGACCCCCCACCCCGTCCTGTACGCCTATGGTAGCCTTTACCTGATTGATTGGTGATTGGTGATTACTGATCGAGTCTACCTGCAAAACATCAACTAAGGACGCTTTCTATTAACACGGCCAAACCTGTCAGAACGGTCAAATTGTTGAATAAAACACAAAACATTTTGGCTTTGGACCTATCTGAACAGAAAATTTAGATAACATTAGAAAGAGTCCATTTTCCCTAGATATTTGAGAAACGTAGACCAGAACTTTCCATTGATACAGATAAGTACAATTTGGGTCTGACCGGTCAGGCCATTGAATGGAAAGCGCCCTAATAAACTGTGTACTGAAGTCACACTACAGTTGTAATTAAGAGAACATCGGTATCTTTTCGAATCTTGCCACAAGAAATATTTGCGTTTATTATATTGACAATGGTGTTTTACTGGAAACTAAAACACTCGTAGAACTCATACGTCACTACATCCGGGCGAGCTGAAATTGCGTCACTACATCCGGACGAGCTGAAATTGCATCACGATTACATGAGCAGTTTGAGCTAGGGCTGAGTTTAGTCAGAACTAATCCTATATTTATAGTGAAACTGGTACTTTCTGACAAAGTTGAAAAATTCCTTACTGGCAAACTCTGGACCATTATCCGTATAAAGAATCTCTGGAAGACCATATCTGGCCAGGTGTTGTTGAAGAGCATTCACTACCGTATTACTTGTACTGTCTGTGACTCTAATTAATTCAAAGTATTTTGAATAATAATGCACGAGAAGTAAATATTTGTCTTTGCCTACTACAAACATGTCAGCTGCCAAAATCTGCCAAGGCCGGTCAGGTACTTGATGCGGTATTAACGGCTCCTTCACTTGCTTATTTCTATACCGGTTGCAAACTTGACATTTGGCACCTTTATCTTGAATTTGCTTAGTAATACCTGGCCAAAATAGACAATCCCTTGCTCAGTTAAGACATTTCTCCATTCCCAAGTGACTACTATGTATTTTGTCTACTATTTCTGGACGAAGAGCAGATGGTGTAATTAGGCGATCACCTTTTAACAAGTGTCCGTCATAGATACATAATTCATCTCTGAAATTCCAATATTCTTGTAAATCTGGGTCTATTTCAGATATTTTATCTGGCAGCCTAGCAACACTGTTTCTTTAAGTTTTGCCATAAAGGGATCTCGATCTAGTTCCCTCTTAAACTCTTCCACTTTTTCTTGGGATATTTGTACCAGTAAATGAACTTCGAACCAGTTAACACCAATCAAGATAACAATGTTCAATTCCAGGTAAAATGCCTTCCAGCAGCACCACCATGACGTAAATTCCAGTTAAATTATTTTAATAATCCAGGATTAATTCCAGGGCAACTTTAAGATACTGTATATGAAGGCCCTCTGTGGAGCTAGTCACTCCAATATTTATGGATGCATACTGTAGGATTTTCAAGGTATTCAAGGATAATTACCTCCGCCAGGAGGTTGTGTAATCATCTGGGTTTGTATGTGTATGTGTGTGTGTATGTGTGTTTGTCTGTGAGCACGATAACTCAGGAAATACCAAACATATTCATACGAAATTTTTTGAATGCATTTCCCATCGGCTAAGGATGAACTAATTAATGTTTGGTTGAATTTGATTAAAAATTGAACGAGAAATGAGCAAAATTTTGACTTGCTTTTCACGATCAATTAAAAAAAATTACTGAATGCGTAATTAGGACGTGTATAATTTATGCACGCAGTACTAAGACAATTAAGCTTCAGCCTTCATTATCTATTGTGTTATTGAGTTACGCATTATTGTGTTCAGCACAGTGCCAGCCATTCAAATTCTAATAAATTAGATTACTTTAATACAGGGTGTATAAAAAAAGGGAACTTCGGAATTTCCCAAGAAATCGACATTGTTTTAAAGACAAAAGATTTTAGCTACCTGGGAATTTAAAATAACACAACTGTAAAAATTACTGCACGCGCGAGTGCAGAAAGAAAAATTTATGCATTTATTTAATGACACTTAACTGATAAGTTTTTATTTTACAAGTGCTGTGCAGTACAGCGACAGTAATATGATCTATCAGCAATTCGATTTCAATTCGCGGGGGCTAAATCTTTTATGCTTAAGAATTGCAAAATGGTTTCTTAAGAAATTCCAAGGTTGCGTTTCACTTCCGAGTAGCGGGCGGAGGTATGCAATCTCTGGGTGCCCTCTAGTTGTACTAGTTTTCATTGTTGCTGAAGCATAATAAATAAACAATTATTGAAATTATTTGCAGAAAATAGATTATTCTATTTGAAGTCTGGATATCTACGATACATGCGAGTTCAAATCTCGCTCATGCCAAGGAATTTTTCGTTGGTCGATTGCAGTGTGAGATTAATATGAAACTAGTTTTTCGTATCTCTGAGGATGGTTCTGAAATAAAATTGAAACACTGCGCGTCCTCTAAGACAAGCGTTAGTCGTCACGAAAATATTTCGTGCACTTAAATTGGATAAGACTCGCTACCAATCCCTGTTGACTCGATAACTCAATAGGTAGAGCAGCGGTCTAGATACCCGAAGAAGCGAGTTCAAATCCCGCTAGAGCCAACGAATTTTTCGTTGCTCGATTGCAGTGTCGGATTAATATGAAACTACAATACATTGACCAATATATCTCCACAGACTTTGCATTGAATCTCAAATCATACATTCAGGAGAGTGTCTAGGACTACTGTATGTATCCAAAACTGCTGTTTAAAGATATTAAGGATAGACAGGGAGTAGCTAGTGCAGTTATGGACATGAGCGGGACAGACAAGCTTCAATAACAGTAGCAGTGCAGTATATTGTAATCAACTCACTTAGTAAATTGACTTACCGTATCAATGAAAGTGAGATGATTTATCAATTTATACATTAATATAATGTATTCTATGCAATGACCCTTTGTTGTATTGAAAATAAATGATAGAATGATTAGGACAGTAAGTTGGTCCCATAACTGCTAATTAGACTTGTACATTTAAAATGAACACCTTGTGCTGAGCCATGGTCATGAGAATGGTATAATATAATATCATGATTGCGGGTATTTCAGGGAATACCCGCAATCATGATATTATATTATATTATTATATTATATTATTAATAATAATAATAATATAATATAATATCATGATTGCGGGTATTCCCTTTGTTCTCGCAGGGCAATTAAAAACTAATACACCTCATTACATTCATATTTTCTAATCCTACCCGCTTTTACGTCATGTCAGGTAGAATTAGTTCTAATCCTACCCGAAACGACGTCAAATCGGGTACGATTAGAAAAAATGAATATAAATGAAGATATCTGAAATCGACAAAACTAAACAAAGACATGGAAAACAATTATATCATTTAATTTATACCATTATTTATTGTTAATTGGTTTTTAATGGCCCTGCGAGAACAACGGGAATACCCGCAATCATGATATTATAAGGTAATAGCATAAAAGGAAGCGAATTAGCTATTGAAAAGTCCCGCCCGATTCGGGTCATTTATTAAAATTTTACTAAATGACCCTCATCGAGCGGCGCCCAAGGGAATTATACTAAACGACCCTCATCGGGCGGGACGTTTTAATAGCTAATTCGCTTCTTTTTATGCTATTACTTATAATAAATGCATATGAACAATGCCGGAAAAAGCATCACAAATTTAAGGGGCCGAACTTTATTCGGCCGAACTTTATTCCCTTTCTAAACATGTGAATCCACTTTATTTTCAGCATCACAATAACTTGCCGCTCACCCCCTGTGCCTCTCCCCTCACCTTGGCAGGGACAGCCCTGATACATGTAATGTCATGTAGTGTGATTGATGGCTTCTGGTACTTGGTGATCATTCTGGAAAAATAGAGATAATATATAATTGAACTAATCTCACTATCTTGGTGATATGATGCCCTTTAAAATATTGTTTTGAAGCTGCAAGAGCTTCTCAATTCCAAAATGATACACATACAGGGATAGATAGATATAGATACTTTATTGCGTGTTCCCCTAAGGGCTTTTCAACACTACATTACATGTTAAAATTACTATAAATTGCTTCGAAAACTACCTATGTTACATATACTTATTTAAAATTAGTTAAAATATGTACAAAGAGTATGAAATATGAAATGTATTTAATAGGATTCTTTTAGTAAAATCTCTCTAAGTTCTTTCTTAAAAATTGTTATTGATGTGATATTTTTTAGTTTATCATCTAAGTCATTCCATATTTTATCACCCCGGTAATTAAATGTTCTTTGACCTGCAGCAGTTTTATACAGAGGGATGTCCAAGAGGTCATGATTTCTTGCCGATCGATCATGTATGTCGGAACGCTTTATAAATTTATCTACTAGGTAGTCAGGTTCAAGTCCATTAAAACACTTGTAAGCCATTACAGTTTCCCTTTCCAATAATAACATTTCCACCGGCAACCAAGTTAGTTCGCGCAACGCTGGAGTTATGTGATCGAACTTTCCTACCCCTGATATAACTCTGCACGCAAAGTTCTGCAGTGATTGAAGTTCATTGATATTGTTAGATGACGTGTTGGACCACACCGTAAAGCAGTACAGAAGCTTGCTTATTACAAGTGTCTCAATGACCAATTTTAATGTTTCATTATCGAAACTATTCTTCACGAGATTTATTTGACATAGTTTTCTTATACACGACGAAACGAGTTTAGATATGTGGTCATCGTAGGATAGGTACGAATCCAAATTGATTCCCAAATCCTTAGCTAATAAAACAGGTCTTATAGTCTTTCCTAAAAATGTTAGCGATATTTCTGTAGGTACTTCTGTAGCATGGGTCTTGAACCGACTACAAGGAATTTAGTTTTTTCTGGATTGATCAGTAATTGGTGATCCAAACACCACTTGGTTTCTATTTGTAGGTCTGCCTCTAAATTGATAGTTGTCTGTTCCAAGTCGTAGATGCAGAATGATTTGTAAAGCTTTGAGTCGTCTACGTATGAATCAAGGTTACACGATTGTATGCTCCCTGGCAGAGCGTTAATATAGATGCAAAAAAAGTGGTGATAGTATTGCACCTTGTGGAACGCCATGGGTTATTGGGCGAACTGATGACTTGGTGGATTCAATGCGCACGTATTGGGATCTGCTTGTCAAATAGTCTTGGAACCATTTAACAGATTCGGGTGAAGCACCAATACAACTCAATTTGTGTAATAAAATCAAATGACTAACACTGTCAAATGCCTTGGATAAATCCAATAAAATTAGTGCCGTTAGATTTTTGTTGTCTATGGCTTCCAACATGGTATCGGTAACAAATAAGTTTAAGGTTTCTGTAGAGTGAAGACTCCTATTCCCGCTTTGATGTGACGATATGCGATTAAATTCTTTGAGGTACGAGCTAAATTGATTTAGAACAACTTTTTCACAAACTTTTGAAACTACCTCAAGTAATGAGAGAGGCCGATTTTTGAGGCTATTTCGTGGTCTCCTTCTTTTAGTAGGGGTATAACTTCAGAAATCTTCCATAGGTCAGGGAATGTGCTTGTCATTAGAGAGCAATTTATCATATGCGTAAGAGGACCCAGTATGATTGGAAGACAGTCTTTGATAACACGCATGCCTATTTTATCTGGTCCTGGTGACTTATTACTTGGCATAGCCATGATAATACGTTGAACCTCTGTACAAGTAACGGATTGGAAATTAAACAGTTGATCAGATAGATATGTGATTACATTTGACAGAGGATTTGTCAGTACAACATTGTTGTCTTTGGCTAAACTTTCGGCTGTCGCAGCAGCGTTCCGTCCCACAGAATTAAAAAAAGGTTGAAATCTTCTGCAACTGTTTTTGGATCTCTACTATAAACTTGCGTTTCCTTTTCCTTCGAGGGAATTAAATTATTAATTATTTTCCATAGGGATCACGAATTGTGTTTATGTTCTCTTACTTCTTTAAAGGTGTGGTCCTTCGCTGCGGCTTTAATTTTGGTTTTTACGTTATTACGATATTCTTTGTAAACTACCCAATCACCTTCATCACGTGTCAGTTGAAACCGACGGAGGTGTAGGGATATAATTAGGTGCCGATATTGATGTCGGGTGTGAGCATCAACCAAGGCATGGTGTGTAATCATACAGATAGCAATGTTTTGGGGAAACAGCACCTAACAAGTAACCGGAAGGGGTCAGAAATATAGCTGCTAGTAAGGGTTGCCCGATACTAGACAAGAGCGCCTTAGACTCTAGGAATCTCAGAGCGAACTCCAAAATATTAGTAAGCATCTAGATTCAATTTGCATTTTCAAGCAAATTAAGACACAACCTCCTCCCTCAACCACACTATATAATGGCATATTGGGTGTTATGTGAACAGCTATAACAGGGATCATCCATGTCGACACAAAAACAGTTCAAATTTTGTAAAATTGTGATATTTATACTACGACAAATATACCTATACGTACAGTATTTATTATAAATATCAACACACAGTCACACAAAGACTCACTCGTTCAAATCCACATCTCACACAGTACACATGCGGGCGAAATGCATCAGTGAAAAGCGCATTATTTTGATCGCGGGCTAAACCCATCAATCAGCATCCATTTCCCAACGTTACGTGGGCATGAAAACAATGGTTTTCGTGACGTGTCTTTGGGAAACTCGGCCAAAAGACTCGGAACTGATGCGCCACTGATGCACTTTTCTCCATAGAGATTATAAATAACAGTAGAGGAGGCATCGAGTTTAAAAATTGGGAACGCAGCTAATGGGGGGGCAAATTCAAGTCCCGGATATAAAATCGTGCTCTCATTGGCTGATTTGAAACTCGTCACCAATGGGAACACAAATACACATCCGGGACTTGAATTTGCCCCCCAATAGTCGCGTTCCCTTTTTTTTACTGAATTAAGATTACAATGCCTCCTCTAGTGTTATTTATAATCTCTATGCTTTTCTCCCCCAACGTGACGTAGTGATGCACTGCTGGCCCCAACGTGACGTAGTAATGCATACACTGACCTGTAATAATAGTGGATGGATGCAACAAACTAAACACCGACATATGTGGCGAAATAAAGTCGCGACACGAAACCGTACTATTGAGAAGTGCGAAATTGTATATGCGTTTTCGTTTTTCATAATATTTTGCGAAATATAGCTTTGTTTACATTCATTCCTGTGAAAATATATTGTTTTAAAGACTTTGGACCAAAGACAACCAATATTTAAATATATTTTAATAAAATGTTGACAATTCTCGTTCGTGTGAAAATTTTGACTGATGCATTCGCATCAGTTTGGTTCCGCGCCTGAACAACACATAGAGCAATACAGACCAAAGAATGACGAACAAAAACTGCTGGCATGACTATAATTCTGTAAATCGAACTGTCGGTTTGAAAATATTCAAAACCAAACGTTTGCGCGAATATTTCGGACGCCGGTGTGAATAAATTGCGACCAAACTTTACGTATTCAAAATCAAAACTTGGCGTGGATATGTTCAAACGAAACTTTTAACGTGTATTCGGACAAAACTTTTTCCCGAGCAAACGGTGCGAAGCGCCTTTCCGGGCGTAAGCCCCGGACGAGGGTACTAATTCCGTCCGGCTATTTACACCCGGGAAAAGAAACGCACTAGCGGAGTCTAAAGTTCATCAAATATCGCGGGCGCATAGTGTATGGGTGGTCATCTAACTGATCTCAAAATATGGCTGTTTGCCAGGAGTGAAGAAGGGAAAAATATAAAAAATACATGTAAGAAAGCTTGGAAAATCGTTTCGCATAACAAATTGTAAAACATTTTTTCAATTTTTAAACGAAAACATTGATAAGAATTGATTTAGCATGAGAAATCCTAAAGTATTGGGAAAGTTTGTTTAATTTGTTTATGTATGACTTTGTATTTAATATTTTAGACTTTGTTCTTGTTGTTTATATCTTTCCTATAATAGTTTTGTTTGTGGAAACATCTCGTAAATTGTTTCCACAAACAAAACTATTATATGTTTTATCGCCATGCAAACATACAAAGAACTTATATCTTTCCTATGCATTGTATGCGAAAGTTTCTTAGTTAAATGATAGAAAGTAAAGCAAATTATTTTCATTAGCGTCATGTACGAATTAAATTTATTTCATTTCAAAGCGCGAGTAATAAGTTGAAGCTCAAGTTGAAGAGTTTATTATCGGCAATAAGCAGCTGACTTATTTCAATTCAGATTTAAAAAATTTTACGTTAAGTTTCATTTTGAATTTTACATTAAAATAAAGCCCATGGAAAACAAAATAATATATACCTACTTTATATATTAGGAGGAGGGATGAAAAGACTGAAAGATGATATAAAAGGGTTGTTCAACAATGAGAAAGATTTACACTGGATAAGTAGAGAAATGCAAAAGATTGTATTATGGAAAAGCGAGACAATTATGAGAAAAATATTATCTGGACTGTGTCTTCGGATAATGCTGACAAACGTTGATAGCTATATAATTCGCCTTGAAGTAAGAAGGGCACTGGGCAATGTTACAATATGCTTTTAGAATTTTATTACGGTTTTATGAATTGTGAAACTTAGTGGAGGCATCATTGCATTGTTGGTTAATTCTAAAAATAATAATGATAATAATAAACTTTATTAAAGTGTCTATACATTATTTAGCAATAGCAGCTAATTGCATGGGACATTATTTATCTATAATATTAATTAATACTATAATCTACTATATAAATATATATCTAAAAATAATAAGTGCTAAATGCTGCATAATATTCCGCATTAAGTGCTGCTTAAAATGCAGCAGTTACAGTACGTTATTGTCCAGCGTACTCTCAATGTCTAATTTGCGAATCATGTTCTTAAATATCGCAAGGCTGGATGAGCTTGCCTTTGGCTGTTTGACATATAAATTATATGGCACTCAACTTGACCCTTGTATATATTAAACATTCGAATGCCTTCAAAGATATGTTAGCATTTTAATACATGAATAAGGATTAGAATTACACAAGAATTTATAAAGCATTGAATTTACATTCAGTGTTTTGATCTTAATAACCCATTAAGGCCATTATAAAGCTTGAAAATGTGCCCAAATGCATCCCTGCTGTTGCTTCAGGGGGCCGGGAGTCTTGCAAGCCCTTAATTAATGAACTTCAGTTTATAATGTTAACACGTTCGTGACACAATGCCTGAAATGTTTGCTTTTTTGTATTTTTAGATTAATATTGGTGCTGGGCTATCGCCTGGCTCCAAATATATATATTGTTCTCAAAAATCAAGGAATTCTGGATTGAGTTGACAAACTTGGGTTGTAAGGTAAGAATTAACAAGAATAAATAGTGAAGAAAATGACAAACTGGCCCAGCTAAAGTGGTCGCCCTGGACCTGTTCATATGAGACATGCTGGCCCGTTAAACCGAGTTAGCTTATTTTGCCGGACCAAGTTGTTATTTGTTTCACATGAGGCGGGCTAGCCTGGCAAGTGCTATAAGAAATTCCCAAACAATTGGTGGGAAAGCGATATTTGTTTTAATTTTGAAAATGGTATTTTTATTCAAGGAAACTGCTTCAGAAATTTTAAAATTGTTGATTAATATTATTTTTTAAAATTCTTATGTATATGCTTTCTAGATAGAATAAAGCATGCGTTGTGACACAATTGTCAATTGCCAGTCTGGTTTGCCGGGAAAGGCGAGATCTTGCCTTGCTCAAACGGAAGCCCATCAAATTAACCAGGCCAGCCTAGTTCTCATGTGAATCAAATCTCAAAAAC